AGTATTATTTTACTTGTAAAGGTGACCTATAGCTGGAGAATATATATGGTAAGGATATAATCATATAATGATGATCACAATGTCTGATTTCTAAAACTATGGATAGCCTAACATAAATTCTGCATGGGTAACAGTACATATATATTTAAACACATGGGTGCCATCTAAACAGTATGGTGGCTGAGTAAGACTGACTATGAGAATACATCATGAAGAATGACAGTATGAAACAGTTTTAGGGCTATAAGAATGATGGGAAGTATGAAACAGTTTGAAATATGACAAGCATTAAATCATGATATGTTGGAATAGTGAGTAAAGAATGACATAAGAATGATAAGTGTTACAGAAAAGGTTGTGAATTGAGAAAATTGGTAGTACAGCTGTGAAAAGAAAGAATGTGGTATATTGAAGTAATTGTCAAGGTGCCCAGTATTTATGATTTACTGTAGTTGCAGGTGTGATTTTACACAGCTACTGCGACTATATTATATGCAATACATTTGATTTCAATATGGTGTAGTACGTGCAAGAGGAAACAAGAAAATAATGATGGGCTATTATCTTAGCAGTAAATGGGAGTGAAATAAGGTACAAGTGTTGAATATGGAATGGTATTATGGAAAGTTATAGTACTACCACAGTGCCAAACAGAAACCTAGTCATCTAAAGATTCGGAGAGAGCTGCAAAATATTCATGAAAATTAAATGGATCAGTTCTCAAGACTTTGTTGATGCAACAGGTGAGACAAAGACATTGAATAACATACCTATTAGTATTATTAGGCTCCTAAATCACACTATTACACTTGAATGTAGTGCATTTCAAACTGTTTTTTCCTGTTAGGTAATACTAACACTAATCATATGACACACTGTCAAATTTCCAAGTGTGCTGTCCTGTATGTATGTGTGATGAGGTAAGATTTACCTGCAGGTGACCTATATGCAGGCTAAGCCTGCATAAAAGTACTGGGTGAGTTTGGATGAGTAAGTTTCCATCCTTCAAAAAAGCACTATCTTCATCATTGTTCCACGTTTCAGTGGAGCATCATTTGCAAAACAATCTTTTGTGTTAAATTTCAGGAAATTTTTGGTCTCAACATTGATGGCAGACACATCTATTCTATATTTCTGCATGTATGTCTACATATAGTAGATTTTTCTGTGATGGTGGTACTGGCAGGCTTTTGCAAGTAAGATGGTAGGTCCCTGCCAAAATCATGTGTTATGTCAATGAGTAAAACATTGAGTAATTTTGAACACCATGTGTTTTAGAAACTGTGGGAGATAACTTGACTTCACAAAACATGTAACATCTGACATGTTGTTCTAGTAATTAACCACCATCACAAAATATTGTGATATAATATGGATAATGTTACTGTTCAAAAAGTTTTCTAGTCCTGGATATATCATACCTGGTAGTATTTACTACTCACATGATTTGAAATGAAGAAATTTCAATAACAAAACTGCATCATTGAGTGATAAAGACTTAAGAGCCCCAAAAGGGAAAAAATAATCAAGGAGCTCCTGTTGGTTCTGAAGCCCCTGTAGAACAAAATTCACACAGGGTTTTCAAATCTAAGAATTGGGCTGCATAGAATCATTGCACATGCATAATTCTTTTCAAGCAAAATTAATTTTTCCTGAAACAAAATTATGCATGTGAAATCAAAATTTGGAAATATGAAGCTGTGCACACCAGAATTTGGATGTGTGTCCAGTGTGCATTTGATCAGGAGCAAAATCTGTCAGGCTGGGTGATGCCAAGGCTATAGGTCTTCTAGCTACACCTGCTGATTGGGTAGGTTTGGTAGAGTTAATGGAGAAAGGGAGAACCAAGGGGCCCAGGTTATGGGGGTTTTTAGGGTGCACTTGGGAATACTATAGCCTTATTCTGGTATTTAGACAGTGAGAAGATTTGAGTGGGGTCTTGAGCAACGTCAAGAATATTCAATCTGTGTATCATAGATTGGGAATAGGATTATTTTGCAGTTGAGGAGGACTACTTACTGGTTCAGTGCCTCTAAAATTCCAGCAACAAAAGTAAGGTTGCCTCAGCACTCAAGTACAAAATCCAACAATCTTGTTTTGAAAGATACATGAGTAAAACATTGAATTGGTCAGTGGTTTAAGGTAAAAGAATAATCTGGATGTAGGAGGAAGGTTAATTTAGGTGATCTTAAAAGGGAAATATTGTAAGGAAATATATATTTTTAATGGGTCTCTTACCATCCATAATCTCTCCCTTTTATATCTGTTGATTGGTAGTTCCTTGACAAACAACAAGGCAGAATTCTTGCTCATTGGATAATGATATTGGTTCTGTTTCCGGAGGAGAACCGTGTGAGGTCATGACGGCCTGTGTCAACTGTTACCCCTGTCATGATGGGGATGACGCAAGCTCAGCGCTCTGGTTACCCATGCTGCTGACTCTCTTGTGAAAGTGTACTTATTATGTAGTGCTGTGGGACCTCTACCGCTTCAATCCTGAGCCCAGATTTCTAGCTCATCTGTATCATTCTATTTTATTGTTTATATTCATTATTTGTTTTATTATTGTTTATCATTTGTTTTATTATTGTTTATTACTTATGTATTCAATTAATTATGAAGTCAGTTTGTACTTGATTAGTGAGAAGCTGACAAAATCAGACATCAATGTTGTGCACACATCACATAGTTGGTACATGTTTATTCACACAACATCCAAGTGGTGTGCATGTCTTGTTTACACCATCAAGATTTCATAAGTGTGTCAAACCTCTCAATGAGCACATATAATACAAGACTGTTGGGAGTGCTTCCTCCCGGAAACTTGAAAGGTGGTTATCCACCCATATAATTGGGAGGAACCCCTTCCAGTGACCTGATTTCTGCCAGTGGTGAGATTTCTCAAGGGTCATGAACTGGTAGCCAGTATATACAGCCGTTCCAGGAAATTTCATTGAATCTGTTTTTTTTTCCTCCTCAAATTGTTTTCTTTTTCCTCTATTCACATACCTAAACCAGGTCAACTAAACTGGAATCAACTTATAACTCAAGGAGGACTCCCACCTCAAATGGTGGAATTATGTGATTCAGGATTCAAAAGTTTTGCTCTTAGATAGTTGAATAATTTTTGAGTTGTCAAATATTATACCCAAGGAGCATAGAAAAGAAATTTTGGAATGAAAACCTCTCCTAGAATCGCTGCAATTGGAATGCCAGTAAAAATGATCACTAGATTACAGGTCACATCTGAAAAGGCACAAGTATGGAAAACCCCAAGAAAAGGAAAGAAATGGATGGTTTGCATTAGGTGCCTTGGGTACCTGTTGGCAAGTACCTGTGAAATTCTGGTGTGTGACAGGTACCTGCTGGTAGGTGCAGGTGTCCAAACTGAGTGGAATTCTGCACCTGCCACAGGTACCTGGCCATAAAGTGGGACTGAAACAGAATTTTTGTGGCTTTTTTTAACTCTTGGTGGGTGCCTGAAACCTGCCAGAAGGTACCTGCCAGCGGGTTCTGGGTGCAGGTGTCTAGAATCAGTGGAAGGTCAGCCAGGTACCCGCTTGAAATAAAGTTGCTTGTAAGTTGTATCCAACATTATGTAAGAGAAACAGAGGGAAATCATGAGTCAAATTTCTTGGCAAGATAATTGTATGTCATTCTTGAAATAGACATAATGAGATGTAATTGTTAATCACGATTAGATAGCCAAGCTTCAACAAAACCAGTCCAAGCTCAGCATGTTGCCCATTATGTATCCAGTTCAATTATGTTTCACCCCCCCCCCCCCCTGTAGCACAAAAAGGGGAAATTGTATGTAGTTGTGTTTCAGTAGGAATGGAGCTACAGTCAAGCGGGGATCAATGTAATTTGATTTCACCTTTCATGGGCCAAACCCACTCAGACCTAGTGGAAGCAGGTTGGCTTAGGGAAAAAATAAGATGCAGACTGACAAAACTCAACCACCCAACCATTTCCAATTCAGGTTTGGGTTGGTTTTGGATTGGGTCACAGATCAACCCTTGGTTATTTTATCATCAATGGTGAAACAATTTGATTCAATTCAATAAATAGCCATGTATTTTCATCACATTGGTTCAGCAATGCACATTAATTTGATACTGATGCATCACATCAAAAAAGTGATGCATTGCATTGGCATTATATCGGAAAGCAATGCAAATGGATGCAGCCAAATTATAGTGCATCACATCACATTGCTGAATAAATGTGATGTTGATGATCTGTATTGAAAAATTTGATGTGGGTCATGTGATGCGGCGCCCCCGCATTGTTCCCTTGATGCAATGTGATGTGATGCCTATGCATGTATTGCATCAGTTACACCGTTGTTATCATCAATAGGTTGGGTTTGGGTCAGAATGATCTGTAGCTAACCTTTCCAAAACAAACTCAAGAATAAATTGGGTTGGTCCAGGTTGGTAAAAAAACCCTGCCAAATCTTCCCAATCCCATCCCAAGTCATGTTGGATATTGGGTTGACCTTGGGTTAGCCTAACCCATTGGCAACCTGAATTCTCTCTGGTGATCAGTTCAAAAGAACTGATTGCTTTTGGTTTGAATATTCTTAGTTTTCATAAATATTGTATTTTGATTAAAAATGATCAAGCCAATAATATATGCAAACAGTCCCAACAAGGTGAATTCAAGACAGGATACAAAGAAAAACTACAAAAAAATGCTTTGCAGGTCAATTTGCATCCATCCTATTCTGTCTTTTTGACTTTGAATTGTGGAAAATTCCCTTGAAAATACTGTTTTATTTGTTAAAGATCAAATTGGAGGTTGAGTCTTGAGTTGTCATGGCCCATTGGCTTGATGGATCTTTTGTGCCTTCACAAGCTTGAAGCGGGTGTTTCTTTGGCTGAACGACGTGCATGTGACGTTGGTGGTCGAGCGCGAACAGAGGAGACGTCTGGGCGTCCACTGAGCAAGTCGAGCCTCCAAATGACTCGTGTATCGTTCGACAGTCGCAGGTTACCCGCCCAACAGTCGATCTCGAAACTCTCAACTTCTTCCAAACGATAACTACAATGGCCGACCACAGAGCACCAAGTCAGTATTTGCTTCCTTCAAGATCAATCTAATCGTATCTATAGCAGCCTTGGTTCTCATCACAAGCATCTTTGATCTGTTTCACTCAGAGGTCAAAAACAGGGCCGCCGCCCCGGTCCAGATCACCGCCGAACAACTTTTACGAGAAGTGAGGACTCGCATACTTTCTTATCTCCAATTGGTAGCACTTCTCATTGTTCCTATCGATCGCACTAATCTCAAAATTTTGACCATGCAATTAGGCTCAAGAAAGACAAGAAACTGGTCACTCAGCTCCTCGTCAAAAGGTTGAAGATTTTGAAGAACTACATGAATACCGCGGACGTAAACGGAAAGAGTTCGAAGAGGTCATCAGGCGAACTCGACAAGACGTCAGTGTCCATTTACGCTTGAACCCACAAACTTGCCATTTTGATCTGATTCATCGATAGACGAACACATTGTGTAGTTAAGGGCTTGGACCAAATATGCGACTTGGGAAGCCTCTCAAAATGAATTTCCACGCGCTCGTAGCGTATTCGAACGTGCCTTGGACGTGGCACCTACTGCCGAAAAGCTATGGCTAACATACTGTGAAATGGTGTGCTCAATGAACCCACCTCGAGACTAACCGAATAACCTGTCAAAACAAGCGCCCCTCGGTCGGATTACTTATTACTCTCGCAAAACAATTTTGATATCCAGGAACTCAAAGCTCGGAATATCCAACATGCTCGAAACCTGTTCGATCGAGCAGTGACTCTTCTACCACGGATTAATCAAATATGGTACAAGTACGTCTATCTGGAAGAACTCCTGGGTAACATTGCTGGTGCACGCCAGGTCTTTGAAAGATGGATGGCTTGGGAACCGGATGAGAAGGCATGGAGCGCGTACATCAAAATGGAGGCCAGATATCAAGAACATGATCGGGCTAGTCAACTCTATGAAAGAATGATTGCTTGTCATCCTGATCCTAAAAATTGGATCAAGTGGGCCAAATTCGAAGAAGATCGCCAAAAGATTGGTAAGTTGTTTTGGTGTTTTTCCATTGTGGAGCCCTCTGCTCTGTGATTATTTCGGGAGTAATTGTACTAGTGAGCTCAACTTGTTTGCTCTTTTTTTCTGTAAAAAAGATCGGGCCCGTGAGATCTTCCAGATGGCATTTGAATATTTCGGCGAAGAGGAAGAGGATCTTGAACGCGCTCAGAGTATTTACACAGCATTCGCAAAGATGGAGAGTCGACACAAGGAGTATGATCGAGCCAGGACTATTTACAAGGTACGACCGAAGCAGTTACCACATGCACTTCAAAAATTAATCTTTTCTGTTTGTTGATCACTTTTTTCATTCAGTACGCACTCGACCGGCTACCCCGGTCAAAATCGGTCGGCCTCTACGCTTCGTATACCAACTTTGAGAAACAATTTGGTGATCGTGCGGGCATAGAATCCACTGTGCTCGGGAAAAGACGAATTCAATATGTTGAGTGCTCAACACTTCTGGCTCAATCCATCGCCCTACATCCAAGCTAAATCTGACATAAGATTTTTACTAGGAAGAAGAGCTTGCTCACAGCAGTCAGCTCAATTACGATGTTTGGTTTGAGTATGCTCGCTTGGAAGAGAGTGCCTTGAAATCCTGTGATCACGACTCTCCTGAAAAGGCTGTTGAGAGAATTCGGGAGGTCTACGAAAGGGCGGTGGCTCAAGTGCCCCCTAGTGCTGAAAAGAGGTGGGCACCTTTCTCCTGCATACCTTATTCTGATTTAGCCTGATTGATTTATTTTGGTTTGCCAGATATTGGAGGAGATACATCTTTTTATGGTTGGGGTACGCCACATTCGAAGAAATAGAGACAAAGGTAGGTTTTCTCATCCTAAATCCTTCGCTTCATTTAGCTGATGCATGTGTCATCTCTTCTCTCTCACTCTCTGCTTATTGAATCGTAGGATTATGACCGAGTGAGGCAGGTGTATGAAGCCTGCTTAAAGCTGATACCCCACAAAAAGTTTACCTTTTCTAAAGTTTGGGAAATGTCAGTATGGAAGTAAATTCATTAATACGTTTCATTTTTTGCTGAAAAATATTGTCTCACATGCTTAGGTATGCGCACTTTGAATTACGCCGCCTGAACCTTGATAAAGCTAGGAAGATCTTGGGAACTGCCATCGGCTTGGCCCCCAAGCCGAAATCATTCAAAGTAAGCAACCAATCCTTTTCGCGATCGCTTAGATATTTCTTTATTCATTCCCGCCGATGTCCAGGTCTACTTGGATATGGAATTACAACTGCGAGAGTTTGATCGCTGCCGGAAGCTATACGAAAAATTTCTCGAGGTTTGTCCTTTCGAATCACACGTAAAATCTTCGACGTGACTTGTCTCAAGATAGATTTGAAATGTGTCGATATAGTTCGATCCTACTTATCCATCAGCCTGGATTCAATTTGCGGGTCTGGAACGTGGCTTGATGGAAACTGAACGAGCACGAGCTATTTATGAGATGGCAATTGCGCAACCTGACTTGTACGATCCAGAATGTGTTTGGAAGGCATACATTGACTTTGAGGAAGAAGAAGAAGAATGGGATCGAGCTCGGACGTTGTTTGAGCGGTTGGCGTTGGCAAGTGGACACGTCAAAGTATGGACCTCTTGGGCCAAAGTGAGCATTATTTCTGCTTTGGAATTCAGTCCAGACAATCGCACTAAATCAACTGCTTGTGATTGTATAATTTCATTCAGTTCGAGATGTCAACAGGCAAGTCTATCTCGGATAGATACCTGGGCTTGGATGCTGAGGATGAGGAAGAAAGCCCAGATGAGCCGATCGAAAAAGACGAAGTGGCTGCACAACAAGCACGTACTGAAGGAATCAGGCTGGCGAGACAGGTCTTACAGAGAGGATATGAAGATATTCGTAAGCGATGGAAAAACGAACCAGAGGGCCCGGTTCGGGACAATCTAAAGGAGCAGGTTTGTCTTGGACTCGTATTCTATCACTTTGATTCTTCACGATCTATACTCTATTGGTTTGCTTATAGGCCTATGCGTCATGCTACGTGCGGGGTTCCTCAGCGATCTATCATTCTAGATCATTGGAAGCTGCTAGAAACCGAGATTGGGGATGAGGTGGCGCTTTCTAAAGTAGAGGCGATGATGCCCAAGCCGATGCGACGATGGCGCAAATTGGATGATACGGGCGACAAAGAAGAATGTAAGTTGGGCCTGCATCAGAGCCGAGATGTATCAGTCATCATTCTGATGATTTGTTTTGTCATTTTCTGTATCGCACGCTGTGATTTTAGATTGGGATCTCGTCTTTCCAGATGATGAGAAGGAACGCAATCCCGGAACTTTCAAGCTCCTCCAATTGGCCCATGCCTGGAAGGCCAAGCAGCAAGAGCAGCAACCTAACAATCCTCCTCAAACGGAGCCCGCCAAATCACCTCCTAAAATCCAGATCGACCTTCCAGCGGAAGATGTTGCACAACAAAATGCTCAGCCAATCGTCTCGTAGAAAGCAATCAACCACTAGCTCAGATGAGAGTCCTCTGCCTTGTGTTTTTGTTTCAATTGTCTTTCTCTTGATTGGCTCGGTCCACAATGATTACTGTCTCTAGATTATAGAGTTGATGTTTAGGAAGCATTTCGCAATCTATGGTCATCCTTCTTGCACTGAGAAAGCATTTTTTGCCACTAAATTGAACTTTGATTCTTCACGGGGTTGTGCCTTGTTGTATCTGGCATGTTAACTTTGTATGTGCACCAGGTGCAATTGTCAAGCAAGAAGGAGTGGAAGAGAATCGATGATGATGGTGGTATCTGATGAGACATGCAAATCACTATTTACACCGATATGTCACAATCATCTCCCTTCTCACAGGGAGTATTGTGCGTACGTCTGACTGGAAAAGGCAACCGAGAAGCAGCTGCTCTGAGGCTGAGCAAATCCAAAGGGCATGGGTCAGGAAACAACCAAACAAATGGCAGAATTTCACATTTACCCAATTAGTAAGAAAAATTCAATTTTTCAGCTGAAAAAATTCTGCTGCAAATTTGTCTATGGTTTTGTGGATATATCAAAATCACCTTTTTTTTTCTATTCATTGCACACTATGAATCTACCAAGACACCACAGTTGCGTAATAACAGACAAAAAAAAAGATCTAGCACAAAGTAAAAACATGTGTATGGAATGGGATAGATGGACTGCCATCACCTTTGTTTACTACTGAAATTTAGGCTTCCTTGTTCCAAGATATGTTAGAATTTGTCCTTTGCGCATTACAAAAATCATGTTCATCGCGGCTGCAGTTCATGTGTGAGTGTGTCCCAAGGGGCAGCATTCAAAAAAGCATGCCACCTGTGTGCGTATCGATGTTTGAATCAGGACCCACCATCACAGCAGACTGCAGGTTACTTGGTCAGTTGTGATGGCTGGTCAATCTCTGTGGCATCCGATGAGGTGATTATTCCAAAGTGGAACCAAAAGGACAGCCGAGACTACAGACCGTTCGGCGTCGGCATCGCCGCTGCGGCAGGATCCCTTTTCTGTGTTATGTATGTATTTACACCCCTCGGAAGCAAAAGAATGGACGATGCGTGACAGGTCAAACTGTGTTGGCTCGTGACAGGTGATGTGGAGTCAGCCAGTGGCAATCTCCCCGCCATCGTCATCAGCCCAAATCAGAGCAACCCAGCTCAACAACCAGAACCAACCACCACCACCATCATCACCATCACAAGCCCAGGTTATCGATAAGCAGACCCAATACAATGGCCCTCAATCCACATCAACGAAAGAAAGTGGACATTAATGTCAGTCATTTTCTAGCCACAACCCTCACTCCTGCTCTTTGTCATCTTCCGTGCTTATACGAACGAACTCCCCTTCTAACAAACCTTAACTTTTCCTGTCTTTCGTATCTTCGATTGCTGCTATATTAGGCCATGACCGAGGAAGAACAAAAGCTCTTCCGTCTGTACGGAAAGCTACCCCCGAAGAAAAATGTCGCCAAGCATAACCTTATGGTACGTCGATCTGGAATAGAGAAAAAGCATAATGCATATATACCTCGGGTTCCGGCATGAGTCTCCGGGAAATCCTGTGAAATCATTTGTTCTGATCCATGTCGCCTTTCTTTGATGACCGTTCACAGGAGCGCAAATATTTCGATTCCGGGGATTACGCCTTATCGAAGGCCGGCAAAACTGCCCCCCAATCGGTCGGCACAACGATACCTTCTCCTGAAAACATACATCATGCTAGTCACACTAGTACTCCCACCCCTACCGGTCAACACCCTTCCATGACTCACTTGAATTCGGAATCGTAAGCATCACGTTTTCTTTGCAATTAAACCTTATTCGGCTCTCGCATACACTGAGCGCTCATCTTGAACATGCCCCCGCCCCCCTTTTTGTTAACTTGGACTAATAGTAATTCTGCGAATCCTGGGGTATTACCTAAACATGGGACGGATGGGCCGATTTTAGAAGCGATCGATAACGCTATCGTCACCGACGGGAACGCCCACCCATCAACCGAACAAGCTATTGAACCCTCTCAACCTGTCAATTTACAGTGAACCGACTAAGAGGATAAACCTAATTATGATGTAGCAAGTCGATCGATTCATTGCTGGTATATCGGGATGCTTGTCGCTATTCTTTCCACTGATCCGGCTCGAGTTGCTCCTTTGTTTCATATGGATATTGCTGGCCTTGGTACCATGTTTCTACCAACCATGCTCATTCCACTCGGGCTTAGCCCTCAAGATAAAAATCATGTCACGCTCTTCAGTGTCACCAGTATTATGTACAAACAGATCCTCATCATCTTTTTTTTGTCAGCCTGTCATAAAGGGGAAGAATGGGATGCTTTGTTGTCCACCTTGGTTTGCAAAAGCAATCCAATACATGGCTTTCCTAAGCTTCTCCGCCTTCATCCCATTTCTTTTCGAATGATGTGTTTGTTCCTTCTTAGTCCCCTCCCTTCTCGATCTGATTCATTCTTGTAATGTTGAACTCAGTTTTCTTTTTTGTTGATGTCAAGACTACTCAATTTTTCAGCTTTGACACATCGTTCTTTTCTTATACAGATGTTATGTCATATATTTTGTATTGTTGCCTTAAAAAGTGACATGATTGACGGTTTCTTTGCCTTATATATTATTCTCCATAAATATACACAAATATTGCATCTGAAATCAAAACTGTTATCAACATATAATTGCCTGTAAACCTTAGTAACCAGAATTATGCCAATGGTGCAACAAAGACAATACATGAATTGTACCTGCATATACATTGTATCATATTTTGTTTTGAGTATGTGCAGCCTCAAATAATTTTTGTCACACTGGTCAACAAATACACTGTGTGGGCCTGGCCAATAGAATATTCAAAATATGTTGGTATTTGTTACAATAACGGTTCATGTCTGAGCTTTGAGGCAAATTTAATGACATTGACCATTAAAATCTTACAAATTTGTCAAAAATCTCAAATTCATCCATACCTGATGATTCATGAGATTTGACAAAATTCATGAAACTTTATCTACAAATGTGCTAGAAACTGCCTTGAACTTCAGACGTGAACTGGCCCAATACAAATACAGTATTCAGAGTATTTTCTTTCTGCTCCTTTAAATTGCATTTTTGTTCAATTTTTGGAGAGCTCTTGTATTTTTTTCTACCATGCATGTACAGAGAAACCCAAAGAAATCCAATGGGGGGGGCGTAAGAGGGACTGATGGAGCTTCTACATACATATCAAATAGATGAAAATATCAGAAAACTAAATACACAGTGCACGTCAAGCAGTAGCAGTCACATTTAGATTTACTTTCTTCCCACTGCATCCAATCCTGAGAGACAATAACCTGGGCAATTGCCGATTGGTTCCTCATCATCTTTGAGTCCCTTCTTTAACCACTGATGAGAGCTCACCAATCCCTCAATAGTTTGGGGGGAGAAACCGCCTTGACCATGTCCACAAACATTGGTGGCAGTGGAGAAGCATTGTTCTACATTAGCCAAAGTTTCTGAACAGGCCAAGGAAGCCAGGACTGGAAACTCTTTGTGGTGTTCCTGATTTCAAGTAAAATCACAGTCTAATCAGTTTTGGAACCATGCATGAGGTGGTTTTTGTTTCACTTGCTTTCCACCATTCAATGCATTGATCTGTCTGTGGAAGGGGTAGTTTTATACTTCCCATTGAGGTAGATGGCCAGCTTGTCAGCAACTGCAGCTTCAATCACTTGCAGGGACCAGTAAAGGGCCAATGGTGGTTTCAACACTGAAACAGATACGGTATCTGCCATGTATCTGCCATGTATCACTATGTATCTGAGCCCCAATAAAAAAACTATCTGACCAATCTGCTTTTATTTGCAAAGAGATTCAACAAATTTGGGTTTTGGCCATATGTGCAGCTTTGCAGAATTCTCCATGATACACACAGTGTATTGCATCTGTTACAGCGTTGGTGGTTTGTTGGTTGTGGTTTAGAGGCAACTGGGTGGCTAGGTTCTTTTGAATTGCTGTAGGTGTCAGGTTCATATAAAGTATAGTGGTAGAGCTATGTAGTGTTATAAAAGTAGAATAAAATTCAATATGAAAGAGAATCTGTTTCTATAAAGGCCCAGTTCAAAGCTCTTGAGAATTACTTGAGCTTCCTGAAGCTGTAGCAGTAAGCCAGGGCAATCCAAGACTCTGACTTCAGGTTGAGTTGGTAATAATAGGAATGATTTAACAAGCAATGATAACAATTCAGGTTACCAATTCTTGTACTGTAGGAATAGTTCAGGGCGTCATAAAGACTTTTGTAAGAGATATTGTAAGGATTCCAAGGTAAGAGGTATTTCTAAATGTGATTTAGTGAATGCTATTCAAGTTGGAGGGGGATGTATAATATATCTAAGATAATTGTAAATTTTAAAACTGGGGAAAAAGGAAAGGATTGGTTTTCTTCTACTAACTCCTTCTCAAATATTCCTATCTCAGTCATAAGGTTAAGCCAATGACTTCATAGCCCAATTTTAACTAAGGATTATGTTGACCGGACCAGCCTGTTTTTCTGAGGTAGACTAACCCACATGTCAGTTGGGATGGTAACTAAAATTCCTCCTGCTCCTAACCCATGTCATTGTTGGAGTGAGAGCTCTGGAGACCGATGATTTTCATTACTTTAGTCATGAAAATCCTTCACATAGTCTAACTACAACTCTGTGACATGTGTCGCAGTCGAGCCTCATGACTATGTCACAACATCCCCCCCCCTCGACAAGACACTGATAACCAATGATAGAGATGAGAAAAAAAAATAAATAAATAAAAGAAAAGAAATAACTGAGAATTTAGAAAAGAGAGATGTTGGAGAGAGTGAGGAAATGAAGAAATGACAGCCAAGTTAAGATGTAAGAAATAATTATTCATCATGGGAGCCCTGTATGGTTGGCGCACAGCGTGAGTGGGCTGATTTCCCTAGGGCCTTGGTCAAGACATCCGCAATCTGGTCTGTTCCTGGGATCCATTTGAGAGAGGTCTTTCCTTCGTAGAGGGCTTGATTGGTCACATAATATTCTCTCTCAATGTGGTGAGTCCTCTTGTTAGATGCTTCTTCGCAGCCTATCTTCACAGCAGATTGATTGTCACAATAGATTTTTACCACAAGTTGGCAGCCAATGATATCGTAGAGAAGATTGCGGATCCATAGACAATTTCTGGTTGCGTGTCCTAACGCCATATACTCAGCCTGGCAGGTGGAGCTCGCAACCGTAACTAAGAATCGGGAAACCCACATGATGGGGCAACCATATAGGTGTATGACTGCGCCATATGAAGATCTAGACGTCGCTCCTCCCCAGTTAGCATCGCAGTAGCATTCAACGGGCGTTTCGTTGCTCCCCTTCGGATGTAGACGAAGCGGGATTGTTTTTGTTGCTGCCATATACCCAATCAGATGATTCAATCCTTTCCAGTGAATGACCGAGGGTCTAGATGAGAATCTGGCCAAGTAATTGACTGCATAAGCTATGTCTGGTCTAGTACCCACAGCCACATAGTTGAGGCTCCCTACAATTGATAAGTAATTGTGTGGATTGATGCCCTCAGCATTGGTATCAAGCGTAGCCGTGTAACCGTCAGGTAATGGTGTGGAGGATGTTGATTGTCCGTCCCATTGTTCCTTCAAGACTTTTTCAATCAAGTTGGGCTGTGTTAACTCAAAACCTTCGCCAGTTCTGTTGATTTTCACTCCGACCATGCTAGATATTCCTTCATTCCATTTGATCTCGAGGCTGCCTTTGAGCTGTTTTTCCAGCAGCTTCAGAGCTTTGTCGGAGGATCCGGTCACAATACCATCATCAACATGTACCCAAATGATGGAGCGATCAGTCTTGTTGCTTAGTGTGTATACGCTAGAATCGTAATAGCTTGATTCATACCCAAGAGATGAGAGGGTACTGCTGAGATGTTTCCACCAGCATCGCGCCGCTTGCTTTGTCCCATACAGAGCCTTCTCTAGTAGGCAGGCTTCCCCTTTGGCAGTTGATAGTCCTTCTGGTGCGGCCACCCAAACTTCTTCATCTATAGCGGTGTGGTAAATAATACTGTGTTTCTACGCAGAAAATATAAAAATTTCTCATTATCTCTTTATTCATTCAAGATATAGTAAAAATGACATAAAAAATGGAATCCTCAGGTAAAATAACCCCTAGTCACCCACTACAACCATACCTTTATCTCTTATAGTTTAGAAGTTACACATATTTCAACCTGTCACGGGATATTTCTTGGATTCTGCACTCTAGCCATAGTCATTATGAATACAGGATGCATATTGCATACTGAATACCTTTGTAGTAAATTGAATACCTTTACGTTGTTTTGAATCCCTTTGTATTAGTGATATTGCATGTATGCATCCCTTTGATCATACATATGCGTCCCTTTATTCATTCATATGCATCCCTTTGTAGTAGTATCATTCAGCCTGTACCCTGGGGCCAAAATCCCTCACATTTGTCTATATAAGGAGGCCTCTGCCTGCCAGTTGTTCCCTCCATCATCCCACCAGGTGTCCATCATCCCACCAGTGGACCAGATCATCTCAACCACCCTTATAAAGAAATCCATCTTATATATTATTTCAGAACTACAAGTCATAGCCACATTACAATTTCAGAATTATATACATTGAAATACAGATTTAACACTTTCATCATCATCATAAACCAAAAGTGCCCTGAACCATATTCATCAACAACAACTTCATCAATATAACCAACAGTCAATAACATCTTTATACCCTCACACATATCAATCGGCAGCTTCATCTTGAACTTATCCCTATCACCATATATAAAATTGCCAAGCTAAGCTTGGTGGTCTTGTTATTCTGATAGTATAGAAGGGCAGAGCTTGCAACTCCAACATACCCTTCTCCATTCAGCAAAAGGGTTTCTTAACCACTTTTGAGTCTTACAAGGGAGTCCCCAACGTGATAGGATAACCTCTGATTGGAATCGTGTGACCAATTTTAAACGAAACAAGAAGATAATCAAGAAGACATCGACCAAGGATCATTACTTTAGCGGTAAACGGAACGAATTCAGCAACTATATCTGTAACAACTCAACGGCATATTCAGTTATTCTGTTGATCAACTAGTCAAACTTCAATAAAACAATTCAACGAAACAATCAACGAACCTCTGGAAAAGAAAGTGTAACCATCAACTGAAAACGAGTATCTCGAAGGAGGCAGCCAGTTATTGACCAAAAGAAGGAAGACCACCGAAGGATTTGGATAACTTGGATACTGTTTGAAGAGAACTTAGGAACTATTCGAAGGAAGCAGCTGCTTATTGACCAAAAGAAGGAAGACCACCGAAGGATTTGGATAAGTAGATCCTGTTAGAAGGAGAAATTCCCAGTATTATTTGAATTATTATTTTAGAGAATCATAAAACTTGCCCTGGTAAAGAGACCAGAGACCATAGTATTATTTTGTTTCTTTTTCAGAGCAACCGTTAGTTTAGTTATCCGAGGAGCGTCAAGTAAGAAAAAACTAGGAAAATCAATCACAATCAACATGAGTCTACCGTTCAGTACACCAGATTTGGAAGACGGATTTGCACCATCAACCCCTTTTAGGAAACAAATCTTTGACAGATCTTCGGGATCATCTTCAGCTTTTAATTTGAATTAGGAACTACGATGCCACTTGTATACCAAAAGCCAATGGCCAACTCAAATCCTTGCGGAACCTAGCCTCTTCTATGATGCAAATCATTTTATGACGTTTCATAAGCGATTTCTTGGACAAATTTTGTGGATGGAAGAATCAACGATGGCGTGCAGAGCAGCTGGATTGATTTATGCGGAAGAATGAACAATGGAACAGATGAAAACATTAACAATTGAACAATTGGTGCCAATCAACGATGGAAATGAAGACGTACCCACAACGCTGGATGTATACGAGGAATTTGAATGGTAGTAACTCTGACGGATGAAGATCAAAAACTGGTGGGAATCAAAATTTGTAAAAATCAAAGCCTCCTAGGCATGAGGAAAAACTGCATTAACCAACACTCACTTTAAAAGTCACATTCCCTTCAATTTTTGCAAAAAAGAGGATAATCAGTACAATTTTCAAAGTAGTTATACATAGTTTTTGAATAAATTCAAGTTCTACTAAATAGTCACACAGAAGAAATTACCACAATTCTAGTAAACAAAAATCAGCCTAATTCAACAAGATACTTGGAATGGAAAAATAATTCACAAGAGCTTTCAATTTGGACGACTCACAATTTCAACTGATTGAAAAGACACCTTCAAGACTGGACCGTGAATTCAAATAATCAACCTTGTGGGAAACTAAAATTGGAGCAGTATTAAATAATTTTTTAAAAAAAAATTTCTCTTAATGATTTTGAAAAGTTGGGGGAGGAGCTCACATTCCTTTATTAATCACTCATTTAAAACCCTTCCTCCCTTAGATAGTCCTTATATCCCTTAATTAATAATCAAAATGCTTGCTTAATATCTAAAAAATCTTTTAAATAGCAAAAATTAATTAGTTAAATCCTCAACTTACAGAAAATAACCAAATAAAACACTGTCAGTAGACATAAATGTTTGAAGTTGGGGGAGGAAACTTTCATACTTTACTTACATTAACACTATCATCAATTTAACCCACCTCATTATCCTTAAGTATCTCCTCCAAAACACACCTTTTTTATTTTTATTTTTATTATACCCTGTTTTTATGGTCATTTTTTTTTATCAGTTTATTTAGTATCTCAAAGTAATTTCTGGATTGAAGCTCTCTCATCGTTTCTCTACTATCTAAAAACTCTTTTCTGGATCAAATTTCTATATCAGTTTTTTATCATCTCAAAGTCTTTTCTTGATTAGTTTTTTTTATATATCAGTTTCTTTATTATCTCAAAGTCTATTGTGGTTTGAATTTCTTTATCAGTTTTATTTATCATCTCACACTATTCTCTGGCCTGCATTTCTTTCTTTCTTTCTTTTGTTTCTCAAATTCTTTCTGGATTGAAGTTCTCGTAGTTTCTCTATTATCTAAAAACTCTTTTATGGATCAAATTTCTATATATCAGTTTCTTCATTATCTCAAAGTCTTTTCTATCAATTCCTTACTCTCTATCAGTTCCATACTTTCTGTCAATTTCTTACTATCTCAAACTCTTTTCTGGATGCAGTGTCTGTTTCATTTCTTCTTTAGTATCTCAAATTTTTTCCTGGAGTTTATTTTTCCTCTCTCAATAAGTCATTTTTCTCAATCACTTACTTATCATCTTCATCAGTTTTTTTTGAGTAGAAGGTTGAGGAAAAACTCATTAGTTGGGGGAGGAATATTTCATACTTGACTCACATTTTTACTATCTTCAATTTTTTCTCTTATCTCTACAATTTTCATTCAAGAGACACTCATCTCTTCATCTCTCTGCTCAATTTATCTTTATTCTCTGAATCATTCAAATCACTTACTCTTAGACTTGCCTCAAATCCATTATCTTAAAGGTTGAGGACAACCTCATAAGTTGGGGGAGGGGTACAGCTC